GTGAACGAGTGAGTATGGATGTTTCCCTGTACTGGGTTGCAGCTGGAAGGGCATCCACTGCGTAAAGCATATGCTGGATAAGTTGAAGGTTCATTCTGCTGTGGTGACCCCTGATTAATAAAGGGACTAAGCCAAAAAGAAAATTAATGAATAATGATATTATAAGATAAAAAAATCTAAAACAGTTTTTTAAATTTTACAGTTTATAAAAATTGTGCAATTCTGAAAGGATTCGGATTGGAAAATAATTCATTTTAAGTCTCTCCAGATAAAAATCGTTCTCTGGTAACATTAAAAATAGGGCATTCCACAAGAATATTGTGAACAGTTTGGTTTCTGTTGCAATATTGTCACTTTGGGAGTTCTTCAAATTTAAAGAATTTATTTTATCTTATATCTTAATTTGATTATTAAAGATGAACTAAGCGCTCAGGAGTTTGCAACAACATGTGAGTAAATAATAATGGAAGTTTCACTTTTGCGTTGACAAATATTTTAATCCTCAAGTTTTATACAAGAATTGTGTCCTCAATCAAGTGGAAATTATTCTGAATGATCCAACTAATTTTTTGTTTCCACATTATGAATTGCTTCCCTCTGGTTGGAGATATTAGAGTCCCTGAGCGTAGCTTGAAAAAAATATAAGAAATCCTTTGTACCAGTTTCAGGGGGGTTACTTAACAAGAGTTTACCTTAATTAGCATCATAATTATTGTAATCACTGGATTTTTCATTAGTTTTATTTATATGGAATGTCTGCAGCAATATGGTGATGCCCATAACTAATTTACTATCAAGGACAATACAGTTTTACTACTATTAATAATAATAACCCAGTCTATAAACTCCTCTGATCTCTTGTTCCTTACACTTCTTTGACAACGGCTACAGATTTGTTGTCAAACGTCCAAAATTCACATAATGTGCTTCACTTACCATTTTGCCAACCTAACAATTAAATGATTTTCCCCATGACTTAGAGCCATTATGGTGTATCCATAGTTGTGCCAGTCTATGATAAACTGGTTTCCCCTGATACGGCTCGCCATCCATGTCACCGCTATAGCCGGCAGTCCAGGAGGGTTCTTCGGAAAACACAAATACGACTTCAGATTTGAATGACACCATTAGATTTAGAAATGTCACTTTATACATGAGACCGATACCTGCATAAGAATATAGCCTTGGTCTTCAATCGTCATCAAGACATAGAGCAGCTGGAAAGACTGGAGTATCACCTTTGAAATATACCTGAAAATTCTGGGGCCAACTGAAAGGCACAACGCAGATAACGCTCTTTATATCAAAATGACTTTCTATGGTTGTGCTTGTGCATATCTTTATAGAGTATTTGTATTACCTGTTAGCCCCTTTAGCTCTGAAATGGGAAGAATGTCTATTCTGTCATCTTCAAGAATGTCTTGATGAGGTTTAGTTCCTACATGAACAAGATCTCAGTGTTAGATGTTCTATAATCAAGCACTGCATACTGAAGTGATTCGCATGTTTATCATCAGTATGATTCAGACATAGGGGTTTCTCTTATGGGAACTTGAATCATGCATACAAGCAAACGATGCGAAGAAGTGCATGCGATAAAATGTATAGTTATACCGAGAAAGCCAATTATGGTGACATTGTATCCATGTTTGCTGAGAGAGAGCGCATGATACTGCATGCGAGGACTGCGCCCGATATCTCCCAGCACCAGCACGCAAACGTTCAAATGGGCAAGTTCATCTCGTCCCTTTAGTCCACTGGCTAGTACAAAAATAAGCACCACTACAGCGACCGGCAGAAGAGACCACAAAACGCTTAGCCCCGATAAAAGTCCTAAAAGAACCAATGAAACTGTCACTACAGCTACTGCCGCATTGGCATCCGCCATTGTGTTTTCCTGATTATGACGTGGCCGAATGTAGGGCAGGAGATTTAAAGAGACACGAACTGCGCGCCTGCTTTTAATTACATTGGCAAACTGTGATGCTAATAATGGCTTTGAAGTACATAGACTCAGATTTAAGTAAGATATAAGTATATAGAATTAATAACATATAGAGTTATAGATTTATAAAGTAATAAGTATATAGAGATTTAAGATATAAGTGTATTGAGTCAGATTTGTTTATTATTTATTCAATCATAAATATTAAGTTTGAGAGCAAAACTGAGTATATTGTAATAATAAAAAATTGCAAATAAAATGTTTTGTTAGAACGATTTTAATCTAAAAATAAAATGCTGTAATTTGCATAATTTGTTTGCATAGAAAAAAATCTATTGTCAAAAATCTTATTTGATTGATTAATAAATAAACAAATCTCATTCCATATAAGTAGGCTATACAGTTAATGGTTAGAATTTATTTTAGTCCATTTGAGTATTAGTAGACTGTCTGTTTAATAGCCTATCTGCTGATACTGCTCCTTCAACAGACATTTAACTGGCTATAAGAAACTTTGCAAGTACATGTCAACTTACACTAACCCCAACCCCAACCAAACAGTCTACTTATATTCTAATGAGAATTAGTTGCTATGTAGAAGCAATGTAAATTAAATTCAACAAACGGACCATCAAAATAAAGTGTGACCCAGTTAATGACTTCAAAGTTTATTATTTCGATTGTCAGAGTTCCAGGAGAGGCTTGCACATAATGAAAATTTAATGTATATAAAAATACAAAAATATGAAAAATAAAGTAGTGACCAAAACGAGCAATGTTCTCTGTATAAAGCCATAAACAATAGCACAATTAACTGTATTTATAGACCATTTTTACAATATCATATTCAATACACAGCCATATCACCCTGCAGCCCAAGACTAGTCATTCACTCTGAAGCTAAGCAGGGTTGAGCCTTTCAGTACCTGGATGGGTGACCACATTGGAAAACTAGGTTGCTGTTGGAAGTGGTGTAAGTGAGGCCACCAGGGGGAGCTCCACCTGTGGTCTGTGTGAGTCTTAATGCCCCAGTAAAGTGAAGGGGACACTATACTGTCAGTAGCTATGTTTCCATCAACCTATTTTTATGCACGTTTTGCATATGTGCATAAAAAAAGGTTGATAGAAACACCATGATGTGCATAAATTTTGAAAATGCTCATAAAAAACATGCGCATAACTGAGTAGGATAAACTTTTTATTCGATAAGAAAAGATGCGCATAAACTATGATGGAAACTGATAGTATTAGTGTTATTATATTATTAATTTCCTCCAGAATCAAGAGTGTCTGTGCTCTGCGTCTGACACCAACAAGTGTCTGGATTGCCTTCTAAGGCGCAAGTCATTTATTAAATGAAGAAAAGATTGACGCAGCTTCTCCTACTGCAGCAAATTTCATATTTACTGTTGATATTTGCCGCCATTTAATCAGGAAGTGACCATTTTGTTTGCTTTGACTGGTTGGATGGAAACGCTGATTTATATGCACGTCTTGTGTGCGATAATCCCGTTTTGCGCATCCATTTCATTCACATTTTTGGATGGAAACATAGCTAGTACCTAGAATAGCAAAGTCGAGTAAGGGAGGTAGAGCCTTCTCCTTTATGGCTCCTAAACTCTGGAATAGCCAACCTGATAACATCCAAGGCTCAGACACACTCTCTCAGTTCAAAACTAGATTAAAGACCTATCTGTTTAGTAAAGCATACACTCAATGCATCACTTAGTGGGTTTCCACACAAGTTTCTACATCTTGTTTATATACACTATTAACAGCAGCTACGCTAATTATTCTCTTTATTCTCCATTTCCACCTGGGGATACTCATCCCGAGGTCCTCAGATTGTGCGGAGTCACTGATTGGACCCAAGACCAGCGACGAGATGATCCCAAGGTGTCAATATCCGGGACCAGGCCGTATCCTGAGCTGCTGCTGCTGCGCTGTTGGTCATGGGGGAGTGGAGAGCATGAGACTGATTCCAGTCACGCTCCAGGGACAGACGAGTCTTCGCTGAGGCCAGCTTCCAGCCTCCTCTGCTGAGACTGCAGCTCTGCACAAGACTTTTGGCCAGTGGAGAAATTAAAATGGTCGTGCCGAACTGAGTCTGGTTCTCTCAAGGTTTTTTTCTTCACTCTCCAATTGGTGAAGTTTTTTTTCCCTCTCCGCTGTTGCCACTGGCTTGCATGGTTCAGGATCTGAAAAGCAACTCATCGATGCATTCGCTCTTCAGTGTTTGGACTCTTAAAAAAGACTTCAAACCACACTGAACTGAGCTAAACTGAACTGAACTTAAACACTAAAAACTGAACTACCCTGATCCAGTTACTATGACCATTTATGTGAAGCTGCTTTGACACAATCTACATTGTAAAAGCGCTATACAAATAAAGCTGAATTGAATTGAAAGTTAGTGAGCACTGTCTTTTGGCTGAGACAATAAACTAAGTTCTTGACTTTCTGTGGTCATTACTTCTCATAAAAGAGTAGGGATGTAACCAGTGGCATAGCAGACGGGCCTGATAAATCCCTGTCTCTACAATCCACTAATAGATGGTGTGTGGTGAGCGCACTGGTGCCGTTGTCCTGTGGTTGCAAGATTACAATACAGTAAACCGAAAAGTGTCTTAAAAACATGTGTATGAATTAAATGCCTACAAAAACAAGTATCAACATACACATGAATATATAGATGTATAATATTACACAACCGAAGCATAGTTATTTTTAATCAGAAAATCAAAATATCAGAAATGTTATTTCAAAAACATTCATTCAAAGACTAACAGGCATTAATAATTGTCTTTTGAAGAAAAAAGAAAGAGAGAAAGAAGGAAAGAAAGAAAGATGACAGAACTGTCCGCGGTACATGAGAAACAACGGCTTCTTCAACAAAAGAATGTTCAAACTATGTGGCACCCCATACTACTTCCCCAAATCATATTCGGACCGAGACCGAGTCACGTGATGTGGTTTGCTATGCCGTGCAGCTTCTACTCACGGGGGGACAAAAATATCTGGAGCCTACTTTTTCATTAACGACTGTATTCTACCTGTTATTGTTTCTGTATGAAGTCTCTTAAAATGCTGTATCCGTTATTTATGCTTCTTGTTCTCTCGTCTAAAATCGATTTATCAAACCAGGATGTGATTGATAACATTCTTATGAGTTTATCCAAGGGAATCACTTACTTCGACATGCAGGGCAGTAACATAAACCTGGACGGTGTTGTTGGATACATAATACTACAAGGTAAGCTTTTATGTCAATGTTGAATTTACAATGCGCTTGTTTCACTGTATTTAAGGCTATTTAACTTTTTATAGGTCGATGTTGTCGAATAATATGTATAGAATAAAAATCTTGACATAATTACTTTCGGGAGGACCGTTTTTTTTAACGAAATTTGTTAGGTCCATTTATCATTTTCAGATGTATAATATTCATGGCGCAGCCAGTGTTGCTATTTAGAGCCTTATTTGCACCGTTGTCTAACCACATCCAGTTATCATTATAGATGTTTCAAATAAAATAAATCAGCGAAATTTCTGGCATTTTTTCTGGCAGTTATGTATTCCCTTGATCTGCGCACTTGTCGTTACCCCATCATGCAATAGCACAACATGTCTATAATAAGATTTAGATTTATTGTTAGAGACATAGCTACAGTGTTGTTTGTTTAATTTAAAACTATAATTTATTTAATCAACATTTTTCGACATGACGTTGGACATTTCCAACAAGATATAGGTTACAAGAACAAATTTGCTGTCAAAATACTGAAATACAACTGTTCTTTAACCAAATATGCTGTTTTTGACAATATTTTACACTACAGGATAGAAATGCCTTTAAAGTGAAACCGTATTAGCCTACATAATGGGTTTTATTTAACCTTGAATGTCGAACAACTAAGAACGTTCAAATTAGATACAAACAATATAGACATTGAATAATAATAATACATCCATAATTAGCCTTAATTCTTTCACAGATCTAATAATATCAAAACTTTATCACCACTAAATATTTAAAAATGTAATACATTCACGCTCGACCAACAAAAAGAGAGAAAGAGATTAATAAGGAGTTCGACAAATGTTATTTAATAGTTTCAAATGCTTCGTAAAAGACCCTTAAAGACCATCACATCTGTCACTCTGTGTCCCATTACACATTATATATTTGTCATACCAAAGGAAGGGTCCGTCTTTTTGTGTCATTTATTAACCTTTCTATTGTTAGCTAACCTCTAATTAGCAGTTATAAAGTTAGATGTGATTTACAGAATCATGCTTGAGGCAATCACATCATAGTCCAATTATGAGATTTGGCAAAAAAAAAAAAATAAATAAATCAACTCTTTTACTGCCCCACCAAGAACAAAAATTGGATTGCATTTCTTTACCTCATAACGGGGCTAGTAAACACACTCAATGCATTTTTAAACACATCCTATAATTTCTAAAACATCTGCCTCTACCAAATGATTGATATATTGGTTTATGGTAAAAGTACCGGACTTAATACATATACTAGGGCTGCAAGGTATTGGAAAAATCTAGCATTGTGATATTTTTATTTTATGTTGCAATAAATATTACAATATGAATACAGATTCATATTAAGACTTTATAATATTAAATTGATTGGGATGATTCTGCAGTACCAATGTATGTCAATAAAATCTAATAAACAATCCATAAAATTTTTGGGGTCCCCCGACACATTTTCGTTGTGCTATTTGCAGCACATTTCTGTATTTGCATGTGTTGTGAGTATTTTATTGCATAACAATCTATAAATACAATCAAGAAAAATATACAATTGAAATGAAGTGTTTTATCATTTTCCGAGTCAAACGGTATTAAAGTACAGTAACTGCATGATAAAAATAAAAATAATTAAATAAAATTAATCAATAAAAGTTACAAATGGTACAATTTATTTTGCCCGAATACTTTTAAGGACATTATAGACTGCAGCTCTGCACAAGAAGTCTGGCCAGAGATGAAATGGCCAACTGAGCCAGGTTTCTCTCTAGGTTTTTCCTTCACTTTTGTCAATAGGTGAAGTTTTGTTCCTCGCCACTGTCACTACTGGCTTGCTTGGTTTGGGACTTGTGGAGCTGTGCATCGATGGATTTGCTTTTCAGTATTTGGACTTTCAGCAGTACAAATTAAACCACACTGAAATGAACTTCAACTCTGAGAACTGCACTGACGCAGTTTCAATTTACAAGAACTTCTATGCTAAGCTGCTTTGACACAATCTACATTATAAAAGCGCTATAGAAATAAACATGAATTGAATTGAATTATACAGTCACGGGCATCAAATACGCATGCAAATGATGAATTATAATCCAGACTCAACATTGTGAATGCTCGTGATGTGACTATTGTGAATGATCACATTGTGATATCAATGCTGAAATATATTGTGCAGCCCTAACGTATACTATGAAAAAATAAAGTGTTTAACGAATTTATTTACAAACATGTTCGAAATAAAACATTTCTGAATACTAAATCACCTTTACTTTTTGAAGTATGCCATTAAATATTTCAGATTCTCATTTAAAGTTTTTTTTTTTATATTTTTTTAACAATAAAACCAAAATCAAATGTAGTCGTGCAACAGGATTGTGTTTGTTTGATTGTTTTGTAAACCAACAATGCTGTGTGTGTAAACCATTATTTAAAACAGTCATGCTTTTAATGACTTTAACAGTCATTATTGAAAACAGTCAAAACATGGTCAACCATTTGGTAGAGCAGGCAGTTAAAGGCATAACAAAGCAGTTTTTAAAACAACAGTTTAATTTAAGACAAATAAATGTTTAAACTATTGCATTTTAAATGATAAAAATACTAAAAACAGACATTTTTATTTTTTTTGTGACGGTGAAAATGGCTTGTCACAACAACAAAAATGTAATTGCTTATGAAAAGAAACATTTAAAGACTGCTAACATTTATTTTCTGTCTTATTAAATGGTACAGCGCTTAATCGCAGGGGGGCTCAGACCATTCGAAATCCACTAAACTGAAAATTTTAGGTAAAAAGTGTTTCACAATTAAGCTTCTGTCTGCTTATATAATTCAGCACAGCTGCGGGAGGCAACACGAACTTGGCCGCATTCAGATTTTCTCAGTCTCTCTCAGCGCGCAGCTGCGATTTCCATGCTGAAGAGACTAAGCAAGAGCCTTTCTACTGCGGCCAGCACCCTTCAGGAGACAGACCCCAAATACTTCAAAGGTAAAACTCTTTAAACAGATTGAAAACTTTTTAGATTAATGACATAATGAAAACCTGTTTCCCCTGCAGAGTTCGAGCCCATTTTGGACAGCTCCTTCTGGTCCCTGCCTGGTGAATGGAGCTCCACTGACCCTTCTCTGGTTTATACCTCGGTGAGGGCTATGGAGTGCTATGATGAACACATGAGTGACAAGTGCATGACTTTCCTTCTAGGAACCTGGTGAGAAGATTGTTGCATAAAATTAAAAATATCATCAATACAATCATAGTCAATGCTACAACTGTTATTTCGCTAAAAGGAAAGACAATGGAACCCCATGTATTGTGACTAAGACCTGTAGAGACACAATGACACAGTTTGGATGTCCACACTATTCCCTGTCTCACCAGCTGCTGTACTTCATGATAGGAACAATGGTAATTAAATCTTATTACTCTTCATAAAGCTTAAACAAACCACCGTTTACCTTGTTTTGAGAAAAGAGATGATACTGTGTAATAAATGTCTTCAGCATGATGCTTGTGTCCTCAGAAAGGGTGCTCCAAAATGCTAAAGGGGGACCTAAGATTGTCTCGTGTCAACATAACTGTGGGACATTACAAGAGGATTTTCTGCTCCAATATGATGAAAAGCAACCAGGATATTTTCAAGAACAGTCTCACTGGCCAAATGCAAGACATCTTCATAGAAAACAGTTAGTATGTGGTAGAATTGTAAACAAATGAATGGAGAATTTGGCCACATCTTGTAAATTCACATTAGTTTATTGTATTTTTTATGTGTTTGTTGTTTTGCAGTTCTTCTATGCGGTTTAGTAGGATTCTCAGACTTCTATAAATTGGACTGGCTACAGTCAATTTTAACATGGCAAGATCAAGAAGCGGGTTGTTTTGGCAAAGAAGGTGAGTTAAAGAATGTTAAACATACAAGTCTTAAGTTCCGGTTTGGTGTTCATGTCAAACTAAAACGAACAAAAGTGACTTTTTATACATAAATAATATTTAACTGCAATAATATGACTAAAGTAAAATAGTAAATGTCAAACTATAGTAAATAGTTTAATCATTTAAATCATTTAATCATTTAAAGTTAAAATTAGTCAAATTAATCAAGCTATTAACTATTTTGAGATGTATTTGTTAAACTATATAAAAGAATATGTGATTTCAAATACATGATATATTTAGAATTTTAGGTAGATTTCAAGCATTTTCCATTCATTTTCCTTAAACCAGAATTACATGAACGTATAATTTACAATAAACTGAATACACTACTTAAATGCGATAGGGAAACTTTGATTATGTTGCTTATTTTTGTCTAACTTATTGTTACACTATTTAAACCACTAGCAGAGTTGACAAAAACAAATTGACTTTTGCCACCATTTTGTGCTTGAGCTCAAACCAGATACCACCATGTGACTTGTTTAAAACCGAATTTTAAGCACGTTTTTTTTATCCTATTGTGTCTAAAAAATGAAGGAGAAATTTCATTGAAATAGCGTGATAACAGAGTTGACAAATAATTAATCTAATTTGGGTCTCTTAAAAATTGTAGAAATGAATAAGAGAAGAATAATGACATGTCTCAATGCACATAAAATCACTTTGAGCTAGTCACAAGCTAGTACTATCAGTGCTTTAAAGAGAGTGCCATACCTTTTTATAACCGATGAAACAAGAGTTGACCAGAACATACACAATCTATATATATATATATTACTTAAATTACAAATAATACAGAATACAGATGTGCAATATAGATATTCATTCATTTGACTTCAGCTTAGTCCCTTTATTAATCTGGGGTCGCCACAGCGAAATGAACCACCAACTTATCCACCATATGTTTTACACAGCGGATGCCCTTCCAGCTGTAACCCATCACTGGAAAACATTCATACACGCTCTTTCACATACATACACTACAGACAATATTAGCTTACCCAATTCACCTGTACCACATGTTTTTGGACTTGTGGTGGAAACCGGAGCACCAGGAGTAAACCCACGCCAACATGGAGAGAACATGCAAATTCCACACAGAAATGCCAACTGACCCAGCCGGGGCTCGAATCAGCGACCTTCTTGCTGTAAGGCGACTGTGCTACCCACTGCGCCGCTGTGGTGCTGGGGTAAAGTTTAGGAATTTAAAATGTATAATTTAAATTATAATTAAATTTTTTTTACTGAATGACATTTTTGTCTGTCGTTAAACAAAAAGCAAAAACATTCTGCCACATGGGTGTAAATGAGCTTCATAATGCTTTTCCTCCTCAGAGGACATCTCTCACATCTTTGAGGAATTTTTGGACGCTCCACACAAACGGGTGAAAAGAAGGGAGAAAACCCTGACAGGTGCGTCTTTGATTTTGACATTAGACATAAAAACTGAAGAATTATTAAGTTACTGTATTCAGATGTATTTAGTCTAAAACTAAACTGTTTCTTTTCATAGATGGCTGCTCAAGTCACATGACAGGAGTTGCAGTGAGTGCATTAGGAGGTTTTCTCAACTTTTACCTTTCAGAGCAGGACATAACGAAGAGGCCCATAATTTAAGGGCCATACACAGAATTCCATTATCTTTTTTAAAATGCTTTGTGGACAGGGTTCCCACACTTTCATGGACACCAAATTCAAGCACTGTCATTTAAATAAAAAAAAGTAGACCATTTTAAACAGTTATGTTCAAAGAATGTGTTGTATTCAATTCTGTTCCTATTCAAATGTGGTTTCTGAAATATTGATAAGATGTGCATTATTAGTCATAGTTCTTCTATGAGCTTTAAATTAAAAAATTTTAAATGAAGAGTGTCTTAGTTTTTCATTCAGTTTTTGAGAAGCAGCACAGTACAATTGATTAAATAAAACAATAATAAGCACTTTCAAGGACCAATGTTTGTTTTAAAGTACTTCCCAGGCCTTGAATTCATATGTCTGAAATTCAAGTACTTTCAAGAAGCGTGGGAACCCTGTGTAGATCAGTATTTTAGTATTTATTCTTTTCTTCTGTGAATGTATGTTGGATTTTATGCTGTGCATGTGAAAACAACATGATACTAAGAAGTGAATAAGCCTGGCTTTGAAGATAAAATACAAAACAATAAATTTTAATAGTCAAATAAATAAACAAAATGTACATTTTGTGATAAATAAAAAAACAATTTATTTCCATCTATTTTCTTTTTTATTCTGAAGAAAAATATTTAGACTGTACAGTTTTAATGCCATTGACTGTGATGCACAGAACCTAAAAGGTTAAATAGACATGTTTTATAATATTTAGAGCAAACAGAGCTTAGTTTAAATTAAAAATAGATGCCCTTCTGTGTCGAATATTTCCTCATGGGTTAAGCTTTCCTGTTTCGAGGGAGCAAACCCCTGTGGCTTCATTATTACAATGAATGCATGCTTAAAAATGCATGTTTGAATTCAGTCCAGAAACAGCGTGATCTCCCCAAAAGCCGCTTAAAAAGTAGCCAAGCTGAGATACCTTATTAGTCAAACTGCCATCTATCCAAGACATCATTTAGACTTTAAAGCTTCAGTGAGAAAACCACGCTGTGTGTCTCTGAATATTCGTGATGTATAAGGGTTACTCATTCCATCCTGTGACTTCATAGAAGAGAGCTTTTATCAGGCGGGATTCATACGTGACGGTGTTCTTGCCAATGTGCATGCGATCCTCCTCCAGAGGTTGCTCTATGATGGCAAGCACATCTTTGCCGTACACTAGAGAGGAAGGGGAGAAAGTAATTAGTCCCATGGAGAATCTGAGGATTGGAAATTAATTAGCGTCTCTGCTTTCAAAAAGCAGCATTTCATCTCCACTGAATTAAACAATCAAATCAACGGCAAACTAGTAATCAGTGGATTAGATTTTGAATCTTTCCGTATTACAGGAGGATTAAAGCTGTCCATTGACACAGTCCTGCTATGAATGAAATAGGATACAGCACCTATTTTCCAAACACTTAAGCGTGAGGGTCATGCTAATTCTCAATCTTTCTACTTGTGGAGCCATTATCAAAGGTGATAAATGAAGCGCACCAAGACAGCTGAGCAACTTCTGCTGTTAAAGATAAGCTGTGCATTTTCGGTTTTGTTATTCACTGTGAATGTCCAAAATTCTGACACTTTAAAACCCTAATAAAAACATAAAATGAATTCAAACTTTTATTAAATTATTGATTATTATATAACTTTTGAATTAAAGTTGTAAAATTATAGTTTTCCGTTGAGCCATGATCAGTTTATAGGATTAACAAATGTATTAATTATTCACAGATAAACACTAAAGTATTTATTTATTAGGAGGGATGGGGAATTTACATTAATTAAATCTAAAAAAAATTGAAAAAAAAAAATTTATATATATAATTGAGTAATACAATCATATGTACCCCAACGTCATGGGGACAGTGGATTTTGTTTGGAAATGAAAATCAGATTAACATCAGAACCCAATATCAGGCCGATGTCAGTGTCCAATGTCCAACCTAAAAACAACTAAATATCAATGTCTAATCATGTTACACCTTGACGTTGTGTGGACGTTACCAATATGACGTCTATCAGTTGTTGGATTTTGGTCACTTTCCAATACAACCTAAAATCAACCAAATATCAATGTGATTTGACATCGTTATTGAATGACAAAATAACGTTGTCCTTAGACGCTGGCTAGACATTGAATTTTGGTCACCTGACATCAGGACCTAAATCTTGTGATGTTGTGTGCCTGCTAGGAAGATAATACAAATTTTCCATGATTTTTACAGACCTAGAAATTACACCTTTAAAATTCCTTGTAGTCATCTGAGATTATAGAAAAATACTGAAATAAAACCATGAAGTGCTTTAAAATGTGCAGCTTTTATTTAATGTTTAATGTAGTCTCAAAAGAAAAATGAAGAGAGGATGGGACAAAGAGTAGCTCCTCCTCTTTTAAAAATAACAGCCAATAGCATTTTATTTTTTATCACAGCTCTGCCAGTTGAGCTCAAGCCGTCAAATAATAAGCAAATGAGAAGCGTGTTGAAAGGGGAAAGGCATGTTAGATACTAGAGAGCATTTGATCAAGATATGATGAGAAACTGAAGTATGAGGTGCCAAAAAAATAATTGATCAATTTAGGCAGAAGTGACAAACTGCAAGTTTAGGATGTTTATACTAGTTTTATATGTTCAAAATATAAATTTTATTTCTATTTTGGAGCAAACTCGCTAATAGACAATTTTGAGGGATGTAAACAAAAACAATGGTCCCAACGTATTTCCTGTTTTACATTTTTAATTTCTTTAGTTTCCGAGAATCCAAAAAGAGCCACATATTGATAAATAATGTTATGGCAGCTGTTTTAACAGTAAGTTATGATTGAATTGCCTCTTGTTAAAGTTATGAAATAGTTTGAACTCGCAGGAAATGTTCAAGGGCCAATGGCATGACTACATTAAAATAGTCTATAGACATCCTTAAAACTAACAGCATGAAATTACCATTAAATTCTTTTTAATTTTAATTTCATGTGACCTTTAAGATTTTTTAATACTGTAATTCTACAGTGGCTTATAAAATAATTTAGAGCTTAATATAACTAGTATTGAAGTTTAAAACCTACATTTTAACATCTCTTGTTCTTAAATAAAAATCACAAGTCTAGATTGAATCAATTACCTTTCGTTTTAGCTTATTTTCAATCATATTTTGTCTTATTTTAAAGTCATCTTGCGGCCCTCTAATAGGCTGGTGCTTTAAGATACCATATACTTACATTCACAGTGCTCAAGGAACTGAATGCACTCTTGCACTACTGAATCTCTGAGCATGATCATGTGCTTGGCCATGTTTTCCAGCAGCGAGAGAAAACATCTCTTAGCGTAGAACCATGTGTCTGTTCCAAGCTGAAAAACAGGACGTCAGTGTCATGCCAAGCGAAAATAACTAAGTAACATCACATGAAAAATCACACCAGTAAAACTGGTAAACATCAAGTTGATAAAAAGTTAAGTCTAAAAAGGCAAAGACAGTGCATCTGCTACACTGTTGTGAGAACCAGAATGTTATGTAACACTGTTTATGCAGCTGGACAGAGCTCTAGGATAGATACGGATGTGGACAAAGTTGTTGGTACTCTTCGATTGTGTCCAGGCCAGTTTCATTAGTTTTCCTATTTTAATGCTTCTGTTGAACCACAATTCAAAAGAAATATCAGATTTTCATTAGTTTATTTTCAGTTTAGAATCATTTTGTATTAATTATTACCTATTCACTTATTTTATCAGTTTTTCACTCATATATCTCAATGGAAGAGTACAAACTAATTTGTCCACGTCTGTATTTGTGAATACACTAAAATAACATAATGGAATTTGAGCAAGACTTTGAAAAATAGAGTAAATAAAAGACATGAAAGTTGATGTGCTATAAAGCCTCTTTACATATTATTATAAGCATTGTATATATGAAATAAATAATAATTACCTTTTTGTTGTATGGCTCAAGGCTCTTTATGACTCGGGAAATGCCAAAGTCATAATTCCCTTTAGCACAATACAAAGTCCTGAAGGAAAGCATATGCTTCAAATTATAAGTGCAATTCACACTGATGATATGTCTTTAAATTTAAAGTTACAGTTGGCCCTAATTTAAAAACAAAAAATATATATTAACATTTAAAGATTGAGGTCAGAAAGGTTTTTATTTCTTTAATTATTAAAGAAAAATATATGTCTTTCATTGTTTTCAAAGTGCTTATGTTTATAAAGCTATATTTATTTCATCAAACAAAGTATAGTACTGTATAGGATAATTATTACATGGTATCTGCAGGGTCTTAAAAAGTCTCTTAAATGTCTTAAATTAAAAAAAAAGAAAAGATTTTGGCTTTAAAAGTCTTAGATTCACTAAAATATATATTTTTTCGGTCCTAAATCATTTTAAAAAGTTCTTAATTTTCCTTTGTTTATGTAAAGCTACCCAACTGCTTCAACACAGTTACATTCATTCATTCATTTTCTTTTCGGCTTAGTCCCTTTATTAATCAGGGGTCGCCACAGCGGAATGAACCACCAACTTATCCAGCATATGTTTTACGCAGTGGATGACCTTTCAGCTGCAACTCATTACTGGGAAACACCCACACACACTTATTCACACACGTACACTAAGGACAGTTTACCTTACCTAATTATATATATACAGCATGTCTTTGAACTGTGGGGTAAACCGAAGCAACCGGAGGAAACCCACACAAATACAGAGAGAACATGCAAACTCCACACTGAAATGCCAACTAACCCAGCCGGGGCTCAAACCAGCGACCTTTTTGCAGTGAGGCGATCGTGCTACCCATTGCGCCACTGTAACGCCAACACACTTTCAATCACCAACAATACATCTTAATAAAACTTTTAGCAAAACTCTATTTAGTAACAATATTATAACAGTCTGTCCATACATTTCGTTTTTAAAGTTATGTTGAAAAAAAGTATGTATGCAACTAGGATCTGCTTGTTTTGACACATTATTTGAAATTTTTGGCTAAGAAATAACTAATAAGAATTAGTTTTTTTGATGGGGCACGTACATTTTTTTTTCCTGCTGGTCCATTAAAAAAATTCTTAGCTTTTAGCCCTATATACTGTAGGTCTGAGATTTCACTCTTCATGATCTTAAAAAGGTCCTAAATAGTCTTAAATTTGACTTGGTGAAACCTGCAGAAACCATAGTCTTTTTTAATTTGTTATATTTTAAATACAATTTATTATTGCAAAAGAAAAGCTGAATTTTGAGTCTTATATATAA